CATTCAATATGGTGAATAAGAGCTACATTTTATTGGGAAATTGGGACGACATCACGCAACTAGGTAATTTCCAGTCAGTCAGGTGGCATCAGTTATTCCCTGAATGTTAGAAATCAGTACTATTTTGTATGGATTCTGAACCATGGAAACAAGTGGAGACTATCATTTCCACTCGACTGATATTGTGTCCGACTCAATAGTGACCACACTTGATGGGATACTGAAAGCAGTACTCAGTAACATATTATTCGTAACGAGATATTTATCTTCTGATGAGACATAGTTTCAAGTGTTTGACACAAAATTAGTTTCCATCGTCAAAATACCATGTCTTACTTATCAACTCAGGAACTGCATTCACCGCCCTTCTTCCTAAACATCGATGAGATTACCAAGTGGATTAAGGATTACATATCTGTTTATTTGTGATGTTATTTAAACATCTAGATGATCGTGAAATGCTCAGAATTCTATACTACAACGATGTGTATGTTTCGACTATCAGTTGTCTGGTCACTTATCACTGACGAAGGGAGGGACAGCATTGTCTGCGATGTTAAGAACTGTGAAGTTGTTTGAGACACTAAACAACCCGTCAAATCAGACACAGATCAACTTACAAATTAATTTCAGGAAGGCAGGTGTATTCAAGCTGACTTCACTAGTTGTTATATGCAGGAATGGATTCGTTATAAGGAAATAAGGAAGAGGACTCAACTGTAAATCATCCCATTGGCAAAGACGTAGTAGAGATGATGAACATAATTAAAATAACGATGACGACTCAAATATCAGAATAGTTATAGAAACTTGAATAAACCCATTAGTGAAGTGATTTAATCGACCATAGATATTGGTCATTAGTATAAGGTAACAAACTGGTGTGTCGAAAATGAACATTTGGCTACTAATATTATCAAATGGAGAATTGTAAGTTCTTTAAATCCACTTTTAATTTACCATTATGGTCAACAGATAGGTACTTGGAGTCCTGTGATTCGACAGCGACCAATGTTATCCCCAGGACTAGACTGACTTTCCTACTGTAGCACCACTGCAGCTCACCTTCGAAATACTAGTCGACAAAAACAGTATATTTAATGAGAAATCGAGATATAATATGATAAAAAACTACTCGGTAATGACTTGGCCAGTAGAAATGATCATTGGAGTAGAAAGGCGAAAATGTTTCCTTCAGTTTCCTTCACACAATTCAGTTCATAGAAGATGTTTCAGTGGAGCGTTTATATTCACCATACATTGAGACAGGCCTACTGGTGGTAACTAAAACTAAGCCGACTACTACCAAAAACGTCAGTAGTATATGGTGTACAAAATAATTTTGCTGGCCCGTTGATGAGCAAAACACCATAGTATATTAAATGTGACTCTTGATTAACAGTCTATATTGAGTGCTTGGAATGAATGCATTTGATAACTGTGGAGTTTGCACGTGACAGTGACTCGTTTGAGTGCATGTTTGAGAAGAATTATAGGCAAATTGTACGAAATCCTCCACACTGAAAACGTACATTCTTATAACTAAAAGAAGACAAGTGAAGAAATAATTCTCTCAGTTAACTCCCCCTCATGGTCTGTCTACTCTTATACTCATAACTACATACAATATATGCATTGTATTGGTCAGTAATGATTACTGATAAATATTAAACATTGTAAACTACACAGATAATAGCAATGATAATCATCCTATGTTCCTCACATAGTGCATGATGCAAAAGAGCTTCGAACTGGGGAAAAACAGTTATCCAGTGCTCCTCAGTTTCCCGTGGTTCTTTTACTGATGTCATTTTGTAGCCAGGCCTACCTCGGAATCAACCGACTCCCCATAATTCCGACACTCCAAAGTATCAAAGATGAGGACATATGTAGCCGACACAGATAGTGGTGAAAACGGTAGGATAATATAAACATTTCAATGGTCGAAGCAGGTGCAGATCTTTAAAAATTAGTCGCTGCATCATATGAAAGTGCAACTAGGTAGCTAATCGAAGTTTAAGTAAGTGGAACAAATATGTGAAAGGAGTAACTAAGTGGCCTAGTTGTTCACACTTTATTGTCATTGAATATGCGGGAACATTCTGAAATCACTGAAAGACTGGTTCCTATAGTCCTGGAACCACTAAAACATTGGGTCAAGGAGCTATATTTGGTATATACAATAGACTAGAAATCCACTTAACACGGTCTGAATAAAATAAACAGTTTCCGAGTTCTCTCAATAATGCCTACTTGTCCAATGAAGAAATGCTAATTCATCGATGTGTTTACGACCAACAGGGAATTCGATACATCCGAAAATCAAGAAGGTATTGACCATAAATGAGCACCGTCAGGTGAATTGCATAACCATAGTGAACATAAACAGCATGTGAGACCGACTTATCCCTACGCAGAATCTATTCGTTGGAAGGCACAAGGGGTTAACCTAGTACGAAACGCTGAACAATACGGAACTTTACAGAACACTGAAGTGTTTACACAAATCAAACTTGACTAATTCCAACAAATCAAAGCATTAACTCGTTTTCCTGACTACGCAGTAGACGAATATCAACACTGACAGCTTTTTAAATCCTTTAATTGACCTTTGAAAGTTTAATTAGAACATACATAGTTTTCTAAAATGCGATAAGCAATTCCTACGCCATAAACAACCTTATCACTCAGATTACCGCAGTGTATAAGTTGATTAAAAAATAAAAAATAGTGAATCTACCAAAATCAAAAGCACCTACGAATTTTTCAGGAACGTTAGTAACCAACCACGCAGGTGGTTTAGGGTGTGATCCCCAGTCGACGCAATCCTTTACCTCGCTAAGCCAGTAATACAACCAGTAAATAAGGAAGGTTGGGCATGAGCCTAGAAACCCCATCCCGTAAAAATAAAAACCACTGCAACTAAAACTTCAACGCTCTATCTTGAAACCCTGCATTCCACTGGGAACGTAAAGGAATAAAGAAAAGTGATCGACATTTCCAAATAACAAACAGAACGCACTATTGTCTCAACAACATGGCCGGATCTCCTAAAATAACTCTTTAGTGGCCAAGATTCTAGATAATATACATAAGAGAGAGAGACAGATCACCTTTGACTTAACAACAGAAGTGAAACACTTAAATACAAACCGGAAGAATTACAACTAAATGATTCGTGAAAACCAGTCAAACACACTCTTAACTGCACTAGACAGTACCCAGCGCTTTTCAGTTAGCATATGTTTTAATCATTAACCAAAGGCAAATTACCGTCCATGTTACTCTTTGCGTATATGTAACTCTTTATAGATTTTCACACTCAACTTAAAAGGTCAGTCGTTGGAAAATCCATCGCACAACATTGTCTCCGTTGTTAAATGACTAGCATATTGTTAATGGACATAACGGAAGTGTAGCCCATGTTTGAATGCAACCCTTCCTACTTCAGCCCGGGTATATTCGTTAGCCTTCACACAATAGATGTGGTTCACAGCTTATCTGAATTCAAAATACTAATCAACAGCTTGTGAGTTTTCCATCAGCCTAGTTTTCATGCGAACCACTCTGAAAGCTTGTTTGAGGTATGCATGCCTGAACATGCCCTATAACTTAAAGCTCTGACAAACCATTATCGTTAATTTAACCTGAAAACAACCACAGAAGACAGTTTTATTTGATTTCTTATTTTCGAATAACTACTGATGTAACTTCACAACTTATAAGAAGCGTTCAACTTCTGTCTTATCTTTATCTATACATTCTCAGCTCTTCAACCTGGCTTTTTGCTCTAAGACCCTACAAACACCCCATCTGTTGTGAATGAGTCGATTTGCACTTCCATAACAGAAATTGGAAACCAATGAAACGGAAAATGGACTTAGGGAGATTGAGGAGTTACAGATATACCTGGCTTACCCAAACCGACCTTAAGCCATACCTCTGAAAATCGTCAATTATTTCCTTCCATATATTCTACGCTTACTTACCTAACTACACCCGAAAAAAAATGAACTTATGTTGTGTTAATCTGGCTAATTAATCTTTTCATATATCCATCTAACACATAAAACACTGTAAAATGTTTTTGCAAAATAAATTTACGTTTATAGTCTTTCCCTTCACTACGCAGATCCTCACAGCTTAATCTAGTAACTATGATGTGCATAGATGATGGTCGACGACTAGCCTGTGTTAGTATTATTACAGCTGTTTCCGAAAAATCATTTATCCCTCTTTATCTCCAATTATCTTTATATAGCTATTAAATATTCCTTACTTGACAGGATTATCTGTCTCTTCTATTACTTAAAAAACAACATGTCCTGTAACCTCCTATAATTTTTTAATTCTAGTGAATATATATTATATCCTTCAATGGTTGATTCAACTTACTGTTATATCAAAATAGTACTGATGGCCTGGAAGAGGCAAGTCCCTAGAAATTACCTGATTATCACAAACGTGGTATATTTTTTTCAAAATTAATATGCTTTTGTGGGATGACTTAATCACAGGAAACACTTCGTGACTTATTCAGATGTTAGAAAAACGAAATTCCCCTTTAATAACATATTTAAGCAACATGGATTGATATTCAGTGGAAATGCTAAGAACCTTCGCTAACCCTTCCAAAAGTTAGGTTTTTCAATCACGTATAAAACCACACTTAGAACAACAACTCAGAAATGTTGTTCAACTACTGCTTTCACTTACATAAAATTCATAATGAGAAATGTAATGTGCGAACGTTACTACGTAGCTCCCCAAACCTCGGCAGATGTTGGAGCTATAATACAGTGGTCGGAAATGGAACCCTCAAACCAATGGAAAACAGCCGTGGTGCTGGTGTAAGAAATGCGAATTAGTAACTTACAATCAAATAAAGACAGTACGGCATTACACATACTACGAGAACAATCACATCAACTTATCCTATAATTTATACTTGAATAATTAAAAACTTTACGCAGCAGTAAAAACAAGCAGATTAGAAAAATTCAAGCTTTATTTACAAGTTTTATACTTTGTAATAACAATCTCATAATTTCGGTGCTCCAAGAGCCATTGGCATTTTTTCAATGACAACACGATGACCACGAATGTACATTATGGGGACACCTGTTATCTTTCTAATGCGACGTCGCAGATCTCGGTCACAAGTGGCTACTATGTAGCAGCGGGATTTGCAGCGCTCTACCAGACAATCATCTGCATATGTCCCTCTATGCTGACAAGTCAACCTTTGAATCCTTTCATCACGGAGAATTCTACACCACCATGAAATATAGGTCATTCGCTTACTTTAAGGCTACCCGGTATCTCTCTGACATCTTCTCTATTTCTCCCATCACGCAGTCGGTAACATATAGAAAACCTAATCATCAGAACCGAAGGAAGGCATGCTTACATTTTGCTAATAAGCAATCCATGATTGACTTGAAGAGGTCCAATCGATTTTTAATGGAAAAATTGACGTAGTTTGTATCCAAAAGAATATGGTAAGGAGGTCCAAGAGCTTCGTTGTATGAATCTTTGAGACAAGGGAGGACTTCTACATTGTGTTTAACTGACAAATGATGGGATGACTCTTGCTTGAAAGGCGTAATCTTCTTGAACTGATCACGCTTTTTTCTAGAATTCGTATATTTTACATAATTTTTTCAATACATTCGTGAGTCTTTTAAAGATATCATTCGCTTCATTGCAGCAAACCTCCTAGTCTGCCTAGCTTTCCCCATGTTGTAACGCAACTGTTAAAGCCAGCGGTAATCCAATGCCCAATATAATTGTAACGAGCACCTCTACAACTCTAGAATTCATACAGTTCGTTTCCTGAAACGGTCATACATCTGTGACAGATTTTAGATCCAGATCAAACGGCTGTCTTGCTGTAACATTACTGATGATGTAGGCTGTTAGATGCAATCTATCTTAAGATGATGACGACGTTGATCATCCCGATAAACAGTTCCTTATAAAAATAACATATTATCTCAAGACTGGAAGTTTCGACAAGAAATACACCACAAATTAAAGAAATCAAACGAAAAGCACGAATACTTAGTTACAACAAACATCCTGAACAAGCCAAAATCGCTATTTGGACATGATAGTATTTTAATGACTTCTCGAAAAACTTCTAGTTCTGACAACAAACCTTCCAGAGGGCCAGTGGGTGCGCGGTAGTTTTGCATTACCCAGAAAAATACCATGCATTGTTTTCGCAAGATCGTTTCGTACATGAAGGGATTAGCTGCTTCTGTTTTAGATTTAGCTCGGACGCAAAACAGTTTGTAGCGGCGAATAATTCCCCAAAATTATTGACTATAGGAATGGATTATGCCTAAGAGAAGAATTACATCGTGACCATAGGAATCATTAGCGAACGTTGGATGCCGACCCTCACTGTTTAAGTCGACTTGTTTAGCTGAAGGCTTCCCGTCAAGTATCCCCGCCATTTGGTACTCGATCGTGTCACTTTCGTGCACGATAACTAGCCAGCTTAGCTTCCGCTTCAATCCGAGATTTATATATCTCCTAATTTGAACATTCAATTGTGGTGTTTTGCTTTGCCTTTGGTACTCGAGAAACAAATAATATAGAAGTTGTTGCTTCAGGATCTTGCGTCTATACCATCAGGCTTTAAAACTGATGAGCCCAACCGCGAACTTCATCTTCGATAAATACGCAGATAACCCCGGTGAGTTCCTTCCTCTTTGTATTTGCTCTTGTACTATATTTTAATCGACATACTTTTCGTCATGAAGGATCCTAGTCCCAAGGCCATTCGTATTCGCTCAACTGCCAAACCCATTCGGCTCGTACCATACTGGCCAGATAATGCTGAAACGGACTGCTTGAATCATTGGGCTACCGAAATTACTTTCCTCCAAAATGCTTAGTTTCATCTTGATTTATCATTGCTTTAATCATACAGTTAGATCAAATGACCTATACATAAACTTGCGCGATGATTTTACTTGCTCCCAAGCAAACGAAATGAAGATATACTTCAGATTATTACTTTACATGTGAATCCTTTGTGAAGAAAAAGTACTTTGGAACTGAATACGCTGAAAATTTTTGTACCGTATGCTCGCATGCTGTCTTAAATAAAACTTATTATTATTGTCCAAAGTCAGTTCGATGAAGGACTTTTTACAGAGCTCTTCTTATCCAAGCTGCCACAGTCCATGCAGACTGTATTTGTGACACTTCAATGACTTTACTCAGCTGTCTTCACACTGGTATCAGTGTAGCAAGAATTTCATTCACACACTATCCAATTTTCATACGTTGTTATATGATTAATATTGGCTATTTTACTGTCATGTTGTAACTTTGGTCTTTTTGTAGTCACAAAATGGGTTAAAATGTAGACTTTTGGAAAGACATACTGAGTAAGTAACCAACCAGTCGTAGACATAGACGGTGAGTAGTTCAGAAGGCTCTTAAGTCTTCTGTTGAGTTGGCTGCTGTGTATGGAGATTGCATTTTCATTGCCTCTAGTCTCTGATCAAGATCATGTTGACCATTTGTGATCACTTTCCTTACTTAGATCTGTAAAGACTATGTCGACAGGTTTCTTATTATCCATAAACTTGAGTCAGCCTTGTTCGGTTGTAATGGCAGATGATAACGGTGGTTTGGACTTTTAATTGCGGAAAAGCAAATCATACCTACACAGTTTAATATTGGCTTGGTCAGAAGACAATAGACTGTTAAACTGTGTGGCGATTGGTTCAAGGTTAGAAAAGGGCCGAGGTTCCCAAGTTGCTTAGACTACAACGCAAAAACGAAATCCAGATTTGAGGAGTGAACACTTTTACCTCTGTAGCCATTGATTCCAAATGCTGATTTCAATTTTTGGTCCCTTTTTACCAGTCTGCATCTACGTCGCACACGCCAAACTGACATCAAAAGAGTAGTTAGACGGGCTGAGTTTCCCAAAAACTATGGTTTGCGTTGAATAATGAGTCAATTTTACCCACGGAAGCCACTATAGCTTCCTAAATTACTCATAAAATTATTTTAATCAGAGAGCTGGTAAGATTATAGGGCTTATATTTTGAATAATCTTTCGCGGGTGCATAGAGTCCAGTAATAATTCTCGGTTTTCATCAGAAAACTTAATGAAAAATGTAAACAAACTGGCTATTCGAAATACCATCTCCTTCGGAAACCGGGGACAGAATTAATCAGGTGAAAATGACTGTGGTTTTGAATCGTTTTTACTGCATAAGTTTAGATTGTTTGGGACTTCAAGTACTTCTTCCGACCAAACACCTGCCTTTTCTAGCGGCTCGGTAGGAGAAGATGCTACGTGTGGTGTCCACTATTAGTACATACACCGACAAATTAACTCACCTCTTCTTTCGCTCAATATTGCTGTCCCTCGATTAGCTTAGTTAAGTCAGCTTCACTGATGAGACTGGAGACTTGCATGACTGATGCCGTCCCTACAGTTTATGTAGCAGGACAAATCCCTTGGAGGCTTGACTAAATATAACAGGAATACGTATTTTTATTGACGAAGGAAGGTATCTGTACCTACTGAGCTTTATGTTCCGTGCTATAATCTCATAAGACCTGAAGAATAATCACGTCGACTAGACTTCCCATGATCTGGGTTGCGCCAATAAATCTGAAAATTAGCTGTGATTGCTATTTCCCAAGTTTGAATGTGCCACGAGAACTGAGAGTCACTTCCATGGTAAAAGGTAACTTCAGTATTTTAGTGGCTTTCTGAGAACTGCGAATCCAACTCGTAAAATTACTGCTAGGTTTGTCAAATTAATAGCTGATAATTAACTGGTGACTTTCTGTATCTTTAATGCTAAATACGAGCTATGTTCTTGGGAAGGTAAGTATATCCAGGCCTTCTAGGCCAATCAAATCATCCAACACAATTCGTCCTGTGCACTGAGGATAATTTTTTAGTATTTTCTAATCTCCTCATCAGCAGAAGTCTAAGGCTGTCGGGCTTCCACCCTTCAGAACTAGATAACCCTGAATATCATGGTTCTCTTCGTAACTATGGTGCTGCTTGCCAGACTCTTTTTCACAAAATATCTCCAGATATACTGTCTGGACACACAAAAATTGGGCCATTGCGCGTTTCACCTGGGAAAACAACCGTTGCTTAGCACCACTGTCTCCAGGAGACGGTAAACCGGACTACCACAATGGCTTGTTGTGCTACCATTTATTCAAACAAATCCTGGAGACCACTTTTATGCCACTGAAAAATAAGAAATCTTGGACAGCAATTTATAAGCGTCCTAAAGTAAAAAACGTTTGCACAAATTAATTTTAGATGGCAACAAATAAGCTCCAGGAGGACTAAATTAAGCTCAAGGATAGTCGTTTGTGGTGAGCAACACAACAAGATCTTAAACTAGTCTTCAAGTTTCCTAGGGTGATCGATCGTAGAAGTATATTGATCCCCACTAGTTTTCCCACAGCGTGAGTCTAACAACGGTAAAATGTTTGATGTGAGAAACAAATTCTCGGATGCATATGGTCCACCATAGCTCCCAGACCTCAAGAGGACATCCTCTTAGGCGGCCTGTCCCAGGGAGGAGGACTAGGTGAGATGAAGTGACACTTAAGTCATCATATAAGATTAGGAATGCTAACATGAGGCAGCCTTTTATCCATCAACATCAGTAGGATTTCACCGAGTCATGTCAACTTTACCTTGTGCAAGAGTTTACGAGGACTTCGTGAATAATTTAGTCCTCAAGAAAGTGGATCACGAACCGAATTTGATATTGCAAGTGGCATTCTTTAGAGGTGGATTTAACATACGATATATGTCTGCGTCGAAGCTTACGACGGATTTATAAAGAGCAAGTAGCACTTCAAACTTTACAGTTAGCCTCAGTTTTCAACTCGTGATTAAAAATGACTCCAGTAGTGTAGTCTCATCCTTCTTACAAATTAAGTTGATTGCCATCACTGTCTAAATACCTCCAGATTTAGACTTTGCTGCTAAGCACTCGAGAAGATTATTCATTTTCGTCATCACTGTCATCCTGCAAAGTAGGAACATAGGAGGACATCTGGGCACTCTACCCTTCGTCAGCCACCATGCTAGCAAGATACCACACATTTCAGCTGCTTGTCTTCTATCCCTGAATAGGAAAAGTCGCTGGTGAGCATCTCATTGTTATTCAGGTAGGTAGTTACCTGGGGTTCTAGTGAGAAGTCGTGACCAGTAGGGTTCAGCCGGTCAGGTGTGAAGACAAATACTCGCCAAAGACATTGGCTACTGGTCACGCTTTGTCGTGAATTGGCAGAAGTTAGAATTCATGGACTGGACAATGGATCGGGTCCCGGTGGCTTAATGGTATACGAGCTCGCCTTGTGACCAGAAGATCCTGGTGGGTGCGTGCTGCTGAAGAGTCCCAAAATAGGGCGAAACGGATGTTCAGTACTCCTAGGTTTTCCAATGGTTCCGTAACTAATGTCAGCTCATGATGAAATCCTGAAACCAATGAAATCCTACAAAACCAACACTTAAATTACTCTTTTTTTCGTATTCTTGGCTTCTCTAAAGCCTGGTTGCGCTGGTGAAAAACACAACATCAGTGTCTGAACAAAGCTACATTTTCATCTAAAACGCTATAGTTTTCACAGTCACACAAATATGGTTGGCACTAAACACTGCAAGTGTATATTATCATTCCAAAGACTCTGTGGATGCTTTTCCTATAAATCTTGTAAATGTACTTTCATTGGCGTATTATCCATAACTGTATTTTATACCAC